CACCCAACTATTAGACAAACTCTAGTGATCCTTCCATCGAATTGTTTAACACTGTGAAAAAAGAAATAGAATGAAAATAAATAAATAATAAGATAAAAATAAAATTAAATAAAAGGGAAATAATATTATAAAATTATTTAATTTAAATAGATAAAAAAAGAAATTATAATTAATAAAAATTACAATATTATTTTTTTGTTATGGGTGAAATTGTTGCTTAGTCTATTAAATAATATATTTATTCGAATAAAACAATTTCTTAGAAGTGATTTTATTCGAATAAATATATTATTTATTTGAATAAAATCCCAAAATAAAAAAAACTCATTCGAATCAATCATATTCTAACAAAGCAAACCATTCAAATAAAACAAATATATTTGAATAAAAGACACCATATCTGAATAAATTATCCAATACCAAACAAATCATTCAAATAAAGTGACATTCTAATAAAGGGGTCCACATATTCAAATAAACGAAAGTCATTCAAATAGAAACCAAATCATTTGAATAAGAGTTACCACTCAATCAAATAAAGGGACCCATGTTTTGAAGGGTAATAGTATAAATATAAAATAACCATGATCTCTACTCCTATTTCCACTCATTTTTGCGAACAAATTTGCATAATGGATTCTATATCTATAAATTTCTCCTGTGACTCATCTCTTACTAAATCAACCAACAAAATTATTTCTTTGCATCTATTTCTACATTCTCCCCATTATTTCCTTTTTTTTTTTCTCTCTTTCTAACAAAGACATCTAAGGGTCTATGCGGTTGAAATGAGTGAAGACGAGTCATTTTAAATGAGGGATGATCGATGTCGGTCCTGAGCTTTGTTTGCAGGTTCAATTATCCTAGGCCTCGTAGCGTCAAAATTTTTTTTTTTTTAAGTTATATAATTATGTTATTTTTTTTATATTAACTTTAGAAATAAATTAAAATTTATTATCTCTTATATATTTTTTATTTCTAGATACAAAAATGTGGTATGATTATAAAGTTTGGTTATTTTTATTGTTACTTAATTTAAGCATTATATTCATAAAAAGACAAATATGTTTTCACCCTCTCTAAAATCCTTCATGTTTTGTTTAAATTTCAATTTTTTTTATCTTATTTTGATCCTTTTAAGTCGGAGATCACTTTTGATTTTCAATGTTATTTAGTCTAGCTATGAAGTTTTTAAGGATTCTTAATTAGGCTTTTAAACTAAAATATTTTGTAATTAAGTCATTTGTCTTATTATATTTTTATAATTTAGTCCATAGGATTAGAAATATGTTCTCAATTCATGAAATTAATATGACAATATTTTTCACAACTTTACACTTGCATAGTCACATTAATTTATTATTTCATGTATTATTATCTATGTGTAGCAGGTATTAAGCTATTCATAAAAATTCTCGTAATTTCCTTAATTCTAAAATTTCTATAATCGTAAGAAATTTTAATAGGTAGGGATTAAAACCTAATGCAAGTGAACAATGATCTTGAATAACAATTTAATTATTGTTCGAGTATGAGGATATAAAAAATATTTTGTTAAATTTCATGGATTATAAATGAAGTTCTAATCTCGAGGACTAAATTACAAAAATATAAAAAGATGAAGGACCAAATTATAATTTTAAATTTTTAGTTTAGGAACCTAGTTAAAACAATTCTTTAAAAAGTTCAAAGATTAAATGATATATTAAACCTTAAATAAATCATACATCTATTTTTTACATTATAAACATTTATATTTTAAAATATTTATATATATGGGCCCATTTATCATGTTGCTCATGGTCCATGAAATGTCAAGATCTCTAGGAGAAGGTTTAAAAATTTTGTTTGCTTCAGAGGAGACAGAAGAAATTTTAATGGAGGAAAGAAGAGGTAACTCTTTTCTTTGGTTCACAAGAAAATGAAAGAGATTTTAAAAATCAATTTACCTTTGTACTCTTATAATTTTAAATTTAAAAACATAAAAATAATTTAAAACGTTATACTAAATATGTTTTATAATCCATACCTTTCCATCCAAATTCTCCCAATATTAAAGGAAAACAAAAATTAAAAGAGGAAGATTTTTACTCTCTTTTCCTCCTAAAAGTTGAACAAAACAAGATAAGTTTATAAAAATTTCTTTCACTCTTTTCTAACCAAATAGTATGGAAGTGTAAATGGGATTACTGGTAAATGAGAATCCTTATGTAGTTAGTGCATGTATATATTGTATTATTTGTTTTTCTAGTAATATATACCATCAACATCTCCATTCATTCAATAGATTAACAAACCTCTTTGATGTTTCAAAATGCAGAATTTAAAAAGTTCTACTTTAGAATTTTCTACCATCATTATGCTCCATAGATAGGAATATGCACTAGATAACTAGTCCCAACACACGAATAATATTTATATTTCAATATACATGAAATTTACGCTTCTAAAGTGTGAAAGTAAGTAAAGTAAAAAAAGTAAGGTTACATTAGAGTATCATAATTTAATTAAATACATATCAATGATAGATTAGATTCTGGTGTGCACATGTCAATTAATTTACCTTACTTATAATTTCTTAATCTTGTATGATCAGATACTTACAATCAATCAAGAGACTGGAATAGGTGGAGCTGAACCAAATGCAACTTTGTTGAAAACTAGATCTGGTGGAGTCATAAGACCAAATGATAAAAACAAAAACAGGGTGAGACATTGAGTCATGATGCTTTCAAAGACCAATACATTAGTTGAATGATGTGAAATAACATGTGGAATTCTTCTGCAGATCTACTTTGGTCGGTATATGGTCTAGAATTGGAAGGAATTTTCTACTAAAGGGAGTGGTAAAATCATTGAAGTGAGAGATCTTGTTTATGTTATTCGAAAGGTCTCTTCTGTTGTCGAAGTAGCTGCTTGAACAGTATATATGTGAAATACATATATCAATATGCTATATCAAAAATCAAAAGGCTATGACATAAACTTGATCAAACATTGTGAACTATGAAATTTTCTTTGAACTTTGAATGCAAACAATTACAAGTTGGGGTTGTATCTATTACCACTAGAATAAGGCATGTGCAAAAATGTAAAGATGTGTTATTTTACAATATTGCAAAAGGTAGTTGCATTAGAACTTTATAAACAAGATAGTTGAAATATGAATTGGTTAAATCTACCTACGTGTTCTATCAAAGAGTAGAGTGATTAAGAAAAATATAGTTAAGATTGTCACGGAATGAGTTAGCATTGGTGTTGAAGTACTTTTGATGTAGCATATCCGAAGGAACAAAGCATGCATGAATTCAACAACTTATTGATTTGGGAAGAAAAATATGGAGAGGTTGAGAAATTGAGAAAATTTACTTTAATTCAACTAAAAATGTTCCTTTTGAGTAAAAGACTTGGTCCATAAACCAATAAATTTCTTGCATGCCAAATTGCAAACCACACCTACCAATCAACATGTGATTAAGAATACAACCAAGATTTAGCTGCAGCTAATGTTGGAAAAATTGACTCCAAATAGGCCCCTCCAAATCCGCAGCCAATGTTGGAAAAATTGATTTAAAGTGCTTTATTGGTTAGGTAGAGAATTCTTTCTAAAATAATAATATTTTATCAGGTAATTTATTTTACAATAGTTTTTATTTATAAATATTTAATGATTTTAAATTTTCTTTTATTTAAATATTGAACGAGAGACTCATATCACTTAACTAAGTGATTAGGAATAAAATCTTAATTTTTATAAATGCAAAAAATTCAAGTTAGAAAGAAATATTTACCTTGATGTCTGTCATACTCTTGAGAGAAATTAATACCTATCTTCAATAAAGAAATATCCCTGGATAATGAGCAAAATAAAATTACAAAAATAACCTTTGTTCCTCACCTTTTTACAATTACTAATCCCATTGAAACTAGTCTCTGCCTTCATCATCTCGTCGGATCTCCATTACATGCTCATTGAATAAATATAAAATAACATTTCAATTAAAATAATTTTTTTGCATATTTAAAACTCATATTTATATTTATTTTTAATTAATATTTGAATAATATAATTAAATTTTTACAACATTTATAAAAAAATATTATCAAAATAATTATATTTAATTTAAATATTATAATCTTAATTATTTTGGTACAAATTTTGCACTGCTATTTCACTTTGAAGAATAGTTTCAAACTAATCTTATCTACAAATTATAAAAGTAATAAAAAAAAAAAAAAAGTTGTTACTACCTTTCATGATGGAGAAATTTCGGTACATTTTTTTATGTAGATCCATAAAAAAATGTGAAAAAGTTAATTTAATTATAAAATAAATAATCTAATTATATTTATACAAAAAAAAAAGATAAAATAAAATTATAAAGATTAAAATTTTAAGATTATAGTAATATTATAAAAATAAAAGATAAAAAATAATAAATAATAGAAATAAAAAACTATTAAAATTACACTATAAAAATTAAAAAATTTAAAGTGAAAAGAAAAAATATACCTAAAAATTATTAAAATTAAGATATTTAAATATATAATAATATTATTACAAATGAAACTAATTTTTTTTTTTGGTAAAGAAATGAAACTAATTGAAAATAGAACGACTAAATATTTAGAAGAAAAAAAAGATGAAAGAATAAAATACCTAAAAATATATAAAAATAATTTAAAAATATAAATAAATTATTAAAAATAACAAATATAAAATGAAATTGATAAATCGGTACCCCTCAAATGATAAGGGTATTGTAGAATTTTATATTAAAAAATTAATCTTATCTAAATGTTGTGTGACGTGTCTTCGTAAGTGAGAGTACTTGCAATCAGATGTGGCTGCTCGTGCGGGGTTTCAAGATTTTCTGGATCCACAGGGAAACGTGACATGAAATAAAATCTTAATATTTTTTATTGTTTAAATTTATTAAATTAAAATAACATAAAATGATATCATATCATATTATAAAATAAATTCTATTTTATTTCATCTAAAAGCTCAAGTTTTATTCCCTTTCATTTTACGAAATATGTAATAAAAATACTTTTTTATACATATTGTATTTTCTTTCAAATAATTCTGCTTTATTTTCGTTCTTTTCACTTAGCTAGAATTTTAATTTAGTGAACAACTATTTTATATTTTTATTCCCCAAAACATGTATTTTCATCACAATAATTTATGAAATTTAATTTTTTGCAAAAAAGTTATAAAAACACAACTCGTCAATTATATTATTATATTCAAACACCAACAAATAGGTGATAATGAATTTAGTTATCTTTAAATAAAAGTCTCATGTATTATAAATATAAAAAAAAATGTAGTAAAAAAAAGTACTCGTTAAAAATAATTGGTCAATTTTGAACCAAAATTAATATAAAATCAATAGATATTTAAACGTGACGAGTTTGGAGTCTGAATTCCGTAATAATATCATAACATAGATAAAAAAAATATTATTATATCCAAACGTAACGAGTTTGGATTCTCTTGCATTCCATGGAGAATGGTGTAAAAGTAAAGCTTTGAGGGTGGTGAGTTACAGAGCAAAAGAAGAATGGGGGTTGGAGCATCAACACCATCAACACCTTCTGCCAAAGTATCAGCCATTTTCGTATACCCAATTAAATCATGTCGTGGAATTTCTCTTTCTCATGCTCCCCTCACTCCTGCTGGTAACTGATTTTTCCTTCTTTTGTAGTGAAGTATACGTACAACTTTACTCATATTTTTATGATGTTATCATGTGACAGGATTTAGATGGGATAGACAATGGATGGTGGTGAATCCTGAAGGTCAAGGGAGGATGTACACTCAAAGAGTTGAACCAAGGCTTGCTTTGGTTGAGGTTGAATTGCCATCTCAGGCATTTCTTGAAGACTGGGAACCTACTCAAGACTCCTATATGGGTGGATTGCATTTTCTTAATCCATAATAACCTCCTCACAACATATTTAATTGTTTTTTTGGTTATTATATGGATTGGCCCCATTTTTTTTTTTTTTTTTTTTAAGGAAAAACAAATATGTTTATAAGATATCAAGGTAGTGAGGGAATGGAAAGTGGAGAAACAAGGGTGAGCAAAACACTTGCACCAGAGAAGCCTTGAACAAAATCCTAGCCCATAACAAGTTTAGGATCATACTTTTGTGTTTACCGTCATAGATGTGAACCAGCCATTAAGTTCAAGTAATTGCATAAATTTCATGCATGAAAAACTTATCAGTCTCCTTGTTTTTACCAAAAATCACCATGAAAAATCATCAAAATCAGCAAAAGAAATTATTAAAAAAAAAAGTTTAATTAGCCTTTTGGTCTCTACAATTTCATAAAGTTTATCTTTTAGTCCTTATGATTAAAGACGTTTGATTTTAATCCTTATACATATTATTTTTATTTTCTTTTAATTCCTGTCGTTTATTATTACAGGGATAGGTAAAATTTATAAAACTATAAGGATTAGGAAACAAAAATAGAATGTATAGAGACTATTACTAAAGTAGAATATTTTTAGTTATGGAGACTAAAAAGTGCAGTTTATCAAACTATAGGGACTAAAAGGTAATGAAACAAAAAAAAAATAAACAATACTTTTGACTGTCATGTGATATCTTATGGAGTTTGGACATGATTTGTAGTTTCAGTTTCTATGTTAGTTCTGAATTTGTTGTGTATACTTCATTTCTCATTTAACAGATGTTTTTCCTGTGTAATTTTGAAAAACAAAAGTGGTTGAAAATTTAAATGCTGAGTTGTGCTTTGCACATACTTCATGATGATGGTTTGTTTTTGTCCTTGTTTAGTAAATGAACATTAAGTGCCACTTCATATTGCAGTGGTGAAAGCACCTGGGATGCAACCTCTCAAAATTTGTTTGAGCAAAGAAGGGCAGAAAGTTGCAGGTGTTGTCTCAGTATGGGAATGGACAGGGTCTGCCTGGGATGAAGGAGCTGAAGCATCACAGTGGTTCTCAGATTATTTGGGAAAACCCTGTCAACTGGTCCGCTTCAATACTGGTAGGTCTTTTTCATTATGAAACCTTAGAAATTAGGATAATGAGAACAACAAAAATGTTTAGAAGGATGTGTTATTTTAGGCGTGTAATGAATTGTTAAGGACTATAACTGTTTTGAGAACATGTGAACATTGATTGGATTAACTTGGGGCACTGAATATCAACATGTGCCTTGATTCATAACTTATAGTTGTCATGCTTGGTCCATGAAAACAAAATTCATTATGTTGTGAATTAGAGGATTGTTCGTTTTTAATATTCCTTTTCTGCTCTGTTATCTCTCTTTTTTGTTTTGAATGAGAATCCTGGCTAGCCATGTTATCTGTCACCAGTTCTATCCCTTTGACCCTCTCTCTGGGTGTGCCTTCTGGGCTTGTGTTGGGCCTGTGGATGAGTTGACATCTGATTCAAATGAAGATAGTGTTTGTGTTGTGTGTGGGTAGAGAGAGAGATCAGAAAATTTGTGTTTTGTGTGGTGGTTGTGTATTTTAGTACAGACCTGCACTATGCCTGAAGTTATCAGTGTTTCAGTATATGTCTTTAGGCAATTATTTGGGAAGTTATGGAT